TCATGATCACACATGTTGGTGTGCTGCTTCCATGTGGGCTTTATTGCTTCTGAAGGGACTGGTTTTCTAACTGCAAGGTCAGAGGTTTAATACCCACCGCTGTTCCCTGGACAAAGATGAGGTTGTGAGCGCCCATGAAGATTTATACTGTCAGAAACCATGGGGGCAGGGTCACTAGGAGTTTGAATCAGCTGGCTGAGAGTGGGTATGAGCTTTTGTAGGCGGAGTGGGGGTTATTGTTTTTGTTGTTGTTTCTATATGAGGTCTACAAGGGTGAGTCAAAAAGTATTGCTACAATATTTATAAACCCATGGTAAACCAAAACATCCCATTGTGATGTGATTGCTTCTCACCGTGTTCTCTCCCTGGGTCCACATATCCTCATGGCAGTGTTCCCATCTCCCTAACCCTTCCCCCAAAGGACTCTGCTTTTCAACGTACAACCCATCAACACAGCAATCCGGACATCCTCTGGGGACCCAAATCTTAATCATTTCCAGTGTTCTTTGAGTTTTAGAACAAAGAGGAGTCTGAAGGAACAAGATCAGGGCTGTAGGATGTATGGGGTAAGTTTTCCCTCAAAGAACGAGCAGGTGTATTGTAATGGGGAAAAAAAAAAAAAAACTTGGTATAATTGTCCTGGCCTTTTTTTCTCACAAGGCAGCTTCACATTTTCTTCTAACTTCTCCTAAGAAGTCACAGTGATCTACAGTGTCTTTTGAAAACAATTTTAATAGTGATCGTAATCTTTTGAGCCGACCCCTCTGCTTTGAACTTAGCTGGCCTGGCAGATCCGCTTGGAAGCCACTCTTTCAATTGGACCTTTTCTCTTCACAGCGCTCTAATGAGAGGAAGGCAAGTCCATTCCCGAGAGAACTTCTCTGCAGATGCCCACTAGGCATGGAGGCTTATTTAAATAAGTTTTGTTTGGAATAAACCTGTGCACCTAGGAATTAGAAGCCAGGTAGCAATACTTTATGACTTACTTTTCTAAAAACATATATACATAGACACTCAAGCCTATAGACTTATGTATCCATCTTTTCCTCAAACACAAGTAGTTTGTCTCACTGTTCACAATGCAGTTCTCCCCTTGAAGTATTCAAATTCTTCCTCATTCATAATTAGCTACTGCGTGATTATAATCACTGAAAATGTGCTAATAAAAACGGGTAAGAGAAGAGGGCCGTGGCTACTGCTTGCCAATGTGAAGAGTTCTCAGCAGGGAAATATGGCTTTTGGAAACCAAACTGTACTGAAGATCGCACAGACCAGAGCCCTGACCCACAGTGTGAATTTTAAGCAGCAGCTAGGAGCTCACCCCTGTGAGTAGCGCTCAGAGACTAGGCCTATCTCTATCTTTAGTGCTAATACCTAGGCCAACACTATTTAAAGAAATAATAATGATAAAACAAAAATGGACGCTGTGTCCTTTTGCACTATGAACTAAAGAATGTACACAGACAGTATTTAATTTGCCCCAGATCATTCTACAAAACCAATATAAGTCCTACGAAAACAGGGTCCCAGGAGGATAGCGTGTCCATGTTGTGTCTGTGATAGAGTAAGATGGAGAGCATTTTTGTCCCAGGCCAATATTTTTGGATCTTAAGATATGATAAGCCTTCCTCAGAAAAACCCCATGTGAAAGATCCAAAATTTAGTAATTAGACCACGTAAAGAAAGCCACCTCCATTGCCACACAAATAGGAAAGGCTCTCTTCGATAATTGACTCAGTGGCTGGCCATGCAAATCCACCTCGGGGTCATTTTTTTAAGACAGTATCCATCGTTGAACACAGTCCACAATTCCATGCAAAGTAATTTAAACATCTAACTGGCTCTTCTGCTCTGAATAAACATTCAATCATAGCAAAACCTTGATAACTCTGACACCTAGTGGCTATAAAAAATACAAGAGCCAAATTCAGCATGAGAAAACGAGTGCTTTGCAAACATAAAGACACAAAACAAAACAAAACAAAACAAAGATCCTATCACTGGGAATGAGGAGGAGGGCAGAGGAGAGACCCAAAGCCCATCCGTAGTCAATTGGACATCCCCTGTCAGAAGGACCACAGGAAAAGGTGAGCCCGTCAGGGTGCTGTATAGCGCTGACAAAACACACAACATTCCTCTAGTTCTTTCATGCTTCTCCCACTACCACCACCCGCCATTATCAAGACCCAAATTCTATCTTACAAATCTGGCTAGACCAGAATATTTATAATGGTACAGATAAGAGCTTACAACACAGGGAATCCAGAACAGATAAATGCCTCAGGAACAATAAGCAGTGATACTAGGAGGGGAAGGGAAGGGACAGGAAGATGGGATACGGGGGCACCGATCACAATAATCAACATATGGCCCCCTCACTAGGGGACAGACAACAAGAAAGTGGGTGAAGGGACACAGCAGTCAGTGTAAGACATGGGGGGGAGAAAGATAATTCATGAATTATCATAGGGGAGGGAGGATGAAGGAGGGAGAGGGAAAAATGAGGAGCTGATACCAAGGGCTCAAGTAGAAAGAAAATGTTTTGAAAAAGATGATGTCAACATATGTACAGATGTGTTTGACACATGGATATATGTATGGATTGTGATAAGAGCTGTAAGTGCCCCCAATAAAATACAATTTTTAAAAAAGGAATAAAAAGAATTTAATAATAAATATTAGGTTTATAATGTATAAAAGTAACCCTATGAAAGGCTATTTGGGTTCTGGATTCATCCTGAGGTCTATACAAGGAGGCAAAAATAATTGCATTTGTAAGTTATATTTTCTATCAACCTTCCACATTTAGCAAATGTTTACTAATTTTCAAACATAAACAAGAAAGCAAATGATCAATTCACATGGCGGTATTTTATCTTAACTCTTGTGCACCTCACCCATCCCCCTACTAAGTATAACAGCCATTTGGCCAAGGCATTCTCGAGGTTCACTTTCTGCCATCAAGGCATCTTAGACAAAAAGAGGTGGACTTTCACAAATCAGCAGGAGCTTTCTATAAGAGAGACTTAAGGGCACACATGGAAACCCCTAAGTACACATCTGACGATAAGGACCACATTGAGCCCGGCAGGAAGCCACATGAACACAGCAGGACGCTGCAACACAGCCAGTTTCTCTTCTAACCATTAGGTGACAAGCAACTCAGACACACCTGAGCCTCTGAAGGCCGGCTCTGAGTGCTCCACCCACTCCACCCAGGGCTGCTCTGACTCCTACCTGCTGACGTTTGAAGGCCAAATAATCGAGATTTTCCAGCTCCTTCCCAAGCTTCTCGTAGGTCTTTTGGAGGTCAGATTTGTTGGAAATATTTTTAAGAGATTCAACTGTCCTCTGAAACTGAAATAAAGAATAAAAGCAGATAATTACAACAACAACATCTATTTTTCAAACAGCCAGCTAGCTACACACAGAAATAATTGACACTGACTCTTAGTTTCTCCCTCCATAATGCAGAGATAACAAATGCTAGCTAATTGCCTTTCAATGAAATAATTAGAGGACTGTGTGGCTGCCCTCATGGCGAGATGTGGCATCCTGCGCTGACACACGGCCCTGCACGGGACAGCACCGGAGACACAGTGTGGATTGGGCGACTGAGCTGACCCCACCACACTGAGGCAAATCACTGGGGGCGTGCAATGGAGCGGCAGGGAAGCAGAGCAAGGAGGTCCCAAGGGAAGACAAACGATGGAC